GGAGGTGTGTTAGTCATTCAGTCATAATTCAGCCTACCAAGAAAGCATCAAATGCCTTAAATCAATTAAACTACCACATATTGGAGCATCAGAACATCATATTCAAGATGTATACAAATTCAGGCTATAACTATAGTTATATTTGTAATCTGAAATACATATATAGGTGCATATACAACAAAGTGAAAAAAATTACCAAAGATGAAGTGAGACAGACCTTATAATATGTCCTCCATACATTTCATTGAACATTATTAATTAATAAACAACAGGTAATCAACAACAGTGCTTGGTTTGATTAGATTATATATATATGATTATATTTCTTTAGTGAAATTGTTGGTTATGCATTTCCTACAAATAATTCACAAATATTTATGAACGTCTGTGTTGCAGCAGCCATGATGCTCACCATGGTGAACCTGGGAATATATGAAATAGGCACCATCTCTGCCCTGAAATTTAATATGTACAGACTGCTGGACTGGACTAAAGGCCTGAGGAGAACTATAACAATCTCTTAGAGAGAACAGTGATTAAACAGGGATCAAAAGTGCCACCCATATAGCCTTCCTACTCACTGATCAAGAATGACAGCAGATCTTAGCAAGTGCAAATCAGCAAGAGGAATCCGATGGTGCTATTCACTACTATGAAGCTTTTCATTTTGCCTCTTACTAAGATTTCAAACATATTCTTGCCTACACACAGAAAAACAAATATTGTGCAATCTCGCTTATATGTGGAATCTGAAAAAGTTGAACTCGTAGAAGCAGAGAGTACAATGGCGGGTGCTATGGGCTTGGCTTGGAGGAAATGAGAGATGATGGTCAAGGGTACAAACTTTCAGTTATGATGAACAAGTTCTGGGGCTCTAATGTACATGATGGGTGGTGATGAATGTTTTAATTAATTTGATTGTTGTTAGCATTACACAATATATATGTATCTAATCATTATATTTTGTACCTTGAATATATTTGATCTTACTCAATTAAATATTTAAAAATAAAATATATTTAAATTTCAAAAATATTTTTGCAAATTTTATGAATACCCACATATTATTTCCATTTTCATTCAACCTGTAAATAAACTTTGTCAGAAGTTTTACATTTCTGAAAACTTGAATTTGGGGCTCTTTGGATCAAAGCACTAGCATCCCTCCTAAGTAACCCTATTTTGTGGTCTATCTTTATGTTTAGGATCCTAGCCTATGATTAAAAAACACACACACACACAAAAAAAATCTCTCAAAGATGCCATTATTGTAGCTAATCACTAATTGTGTATCCTCCCCCTGCCCCGCCCAATTTATCCAGCAGCTTCTCTTTTTTTGTCAGATGTCAGATAGATTCCAAAAGCTAAATCTGTCCTCTGGGAAGGCGAACAATTATACCGCCTATTGCCTCTTCTTCCTTTCGTTATTCTGTCACTAATTATGCTGTCCACAAGGGATTCTGTCATATAAGAGTCTGTTACCAAGAGCTAAAATACATGTAACAGCTGTTTATTTGCAAATACGGAATGCGGTGAACACATGGCACAGAGAGATGCTTACTTTCTTAGGCTTGTATCTTTCCATTTACATTAGATTTTCCATGATCTTTTTCCCTTTTAAATACTGCATATATGGTAAAGAGCTTTATTTTTCTTTTCTACTAAACTCCACTGCAATAGAAATAACTAATATGTTAAAAAATATCTCAGATAACCAAGTCATCACAGCACAAAAAACAGCTCAAGCTTTCAGGAGCAATAGAGATAATATTAATCATAACAGCAGCAAAATGAGCAAGTGCTTAGTTGTTACAATGTTCCAGGCATTTCCCTGGCAACCTTACAGATAGTCCCTTATTTATTATTCATAATTACCACATTACATAGTAGCTGTCATTATCTATGCTCTTCACAAGGTTACTAGGGGCATACCTTTAAAAGGTTACTAGTTTGCATACTTGTGGTTTAAATCCAAACCTACTTGACTCTGCCTCCTTCCAACTTTACACTGAGAATGAGGGAAAAGAGTAAGGTGGGATGAAAGGTAGGGGAAAAGTAGACAGAGGAGAGAGAGAAATAATGGAGCAAACCATCCTCAATCCTTTTTTAATTTTTATTATGCATTGACAAATTATAGCTGTATTTATTTATGGGATACAAAGTGATGTTATAATTTTTAAATACAATATGGAAAGATTAAGCTAATTAATATCTCCATCACTTCAAATATTTGAGATTTCTTGGTGATGAGAACATTAGAAGAAATTAACTCTCGGTGATACTAAAATGTACAGAACTCAATGACTAGCTATATTCATCATGCTGTGCAGTTGATCTAAAAAAAATTAAACTTATTCCTCCTAACTGAGGCTTTGTACCTTTCGACTATTGCCACCCCACTCTTTTCACTCCCCAGTGTCTGTAACTACCAATCTACCCACTGCCTCTATGAGTTCAATTGTTTTAGGCTACACATAGAAGTGAGAACATGCAGTATTTGTCTTTCTGTTTGACTAATTTCACTTAGCATAATGTCCTCCAATTCCATTCATGTTGTCACAAATGACACAATTTCTTTCTTTTAAGGCTGAATAGGACATATGCTGTATTTTTTTCTTAATTCATTAAACAAACATCTATTGAGCACCTAGCACTAGCTGGGCCTACTATCTACTTGTAACACAAGTTCCTTGCCTTAGAGAAGCATGTTTGGCTTAGAGACGTACAATCTCCAGCCAACAACTGCAGTCTCCACTTTAAGGACAATAATCAATATGTGCCAAAGTGTTGAGAGCACAAGAAGAGGGTGGGGCCTGTTGAGGGAACCGGGGGAGGTTTCCCAGATAAGGTGCCTTTTGAGCAGGAATGTAAGCAAAGCATGAGTGTTCTCAAGCTGACTGAGGGTGGAAAGTTGTAGGAGGCGGAGGTCACAGCAAGGCAACATCATAGCAGTGTGGCAGATGGGGGGTGCCCAGGGGATTGAATACTTCAGCAGTTGCAGAGGAGGGTACATGTGGAAGATTGTGAAAGATAAAAGCAGAAAGGCTGGTGTATGACAGCGCATTGGGATGGGCATTAGGAGAGGTGGTAAAGGAGGGAAGAGGTAGGTGTCTGTTGGGGAAGGGGCAGGTGAGGAAATATGAGACATGGGTCTGCCAGTGCAAGTAACCACTTCATGCAGCATGGTATTTGAGGTTATCATAAACCATTGAATCATGTGAATTCTTTTGTTCAGTGTTTTTCTGACTATGGATTATGCTAATTTTGATGGAAAGAAGAGAAATACATACAAAGTTAAGAGTGGCCCTAAATCAGAGCTTGGGGGTCTAGAAAATGAAAGGGTAGCGTGAGAAAACTAGAAGCCTGGGTGGAGACAGAGCAAAAGCATTTCTCAGATGGATACAGCTACTGAAATACAGGGCAGGTGGCATAGAGACAAATGGGCTAATCAATTGTATATCAGGCATCCCTGGGGCTGGATATCAGGCAAAAGATGAAAGGATGAGATGAGAAGACAAATGATGCTGTCATTATTTCTGTATTTAAAAGTAATCAAATGGGCTGAGTGCAGTAGCCTATGCCTGTAATCCTGGCACTATGGGAGGCTGAGGACGATGGATGACTTGAGGTCAGGAGTTCAAGACCAGCCCGGCCAACATGGTGAAACATTGTCCTTACTAAAAATACAAAAATTAATTGGATGTGGTGGCATGCACCTCTAGTCCCAGCTACTCAGGAGGCTGAGGCAAGAGAATTCCTTGAACAAAGGAGGTGGAAGTTGCAGTGAGCCCAAATCACACCACTGCACTCTAGCCTGGGTGAGAAAGCAACACTCTATTTCAAAAAAACTAAAACTAAAAACAAAGTAATGAAATGCTTCAAGTGGAAACAAAAAGCACATTTAACTGACAATATAGCTATCACCACAATATAGTCTGAGAAAATCTTTTGATGACCAAGCACAATTAAATATTATTGGGACTTGGGACACTATTACATTGTTCCTTGGATTAAGTCTTCTTTTGTGTAGAAATGTGTGTCTTATCAGTCAAGTTTTTCTTGCTCTGCCTGCTGAAGGGTGAAACAGACATCAATATATGTCTTTAAACTGTCAGATCTGGACTCTGCCTGTAACCTCTCCCCATAGATAAAAAATTGGATTTCAAAAAAAGGGAAAAAAACCCTTTGTATCCTAAATTTGTCAAGAAATTCTTGCCAAGAATATACCTTTACCAGAGTACTTACAATATAGCAGAAAAAAAAACTTAATAAGTTTTGATTTGGTGTTCTCTGGGACAAAGTTTCTAGTGGAATAAAGAGTGAAAAGATACTGCTTATGACAGCTTCTAATTAGATTTTGTACAGTCATCATTAAATCAACAGAGTAAGTTTTTATTTTGGGGTTGGCATCTCCTACTTCTCTGCCACTATAGATGATCACTTCCAGTGCATACACTTCAAATGGGAAAGCAGTGTCCAGGAACGATGGGGTAGAGATAAAGCTGGCAATGCAGGTTTCCAGGCAGCCCTCCTGCAGTGCAGTACCATCCCCAAGGCTACCATAAAGTCCAGTGTGGAGAGTCCCGACTTGAGTGTCATACAGACCTAGGGTCCAGTCTCAGCTTTGTATCTTAATAATTCTAGGACATAATATACACAAAGCACTTGGCCCAATGCCTGGCACACAGTAGACACTCAATGAATAGAAGCTGTTACTGCTGCAAAATTATTTTTTAAAGCATGAAAAGGAAAAGCCAGAGCTCAAATATAGCAGAGCTCCTCACTTCAAAGGCACAAACATTCCTGTCAAATGTTAATTTTTCTGCCAACTTCTTATGAATATTTAGGGCCTAAAAGTTATCTAAAATGATCACTAGTACAATAAGGTGGTATTTTATATGTCATTTTCCAGCACTCTCCCCTTTTTCCTTATTATTCTTTATAAGGTAATCTAAAATGTAAGAGATTAATAAATAGAAACTGTAGATTTTTGGTCTTACCATTTTTGTCTGCTCTCCTCAGTATCTGGAAAGAAAAAAGATAAAAAATTATCACCATTTTAAATAAATTTTGCAGTGAACATTACACCTACACATAATTTATCCATGATTAAATAAAATACATTCTAATTTTAAGGGTTTCCCAATTAAGATATTTCTTTATAATATCTAAAACCTGAAAACAACCAAAATGTCCATGGATAAACAAACCATGAATGGAGAAACAAACTGTGTTATAGGCATATAATAGAATACTACTGAGCAATAAAAATGAATGAACTGGTCAGGCGCGGTGGCTCAAGCCTGTAATCCCAGCCCTTTGGGAGGCCGAGGCAGGTGGATCACGAGGTCGAGAGATCGAGACCATCCTGGTCAACATGGTGAAACCCCGTCTCTACTAAAAGTATAAAAAATTAGCTGGGCATGGTGGTGCGTGCCTGTAATCCCAGCTACTCAGGAGGCTGAGGCAGGAGAATTGCCTGAACCCAGGAGGCGGAGGTTGTGGTGAGCCGAGATCGTGCCATTGTACTCCAGCCTGGGTAACAAGAGTGAAACTCCGTCTCAAAAAAAAAAAAAAAAAAAAAAATTAATGAGCTATTGACACAACTTGGACAGATCTAAAACTAATTAGGCTGAGTAGAAAACCTAGACACAAAAGAGTATCTACTTATAATTCTGTGTATATAAAATTCTTAAAAATGCAAACTAATCTATAGGGACAGAAAGCAGATTAAGGTTCCTAGGAATGGGCAGGGCAGGGCAGGGAAGGGTGGATTACAAGAGGATGTGAGAAAACTTTTGCAGGTGATAGAATTACTATCTTGATTATGATAATGGTTTCATATATGTTAAAACTCATCAAGTTTACACTTTACATATGTGTGCTTTAATGTAAGTCAACCATACGACAATAAAACTGGGATTAAACAAAACGTAACATGGGTAAATAATAGCCCACATGTCTATACTAAATCTACTTTATTTATCATATTATTTTGGATGCATTTAAATTGTCTTGATGCATAAGAAGCATTTGGCCATCCAGTTTCTGTTACTCTTCAGTAATTATTTCTAATGTTCTCTGGGAAACCAACCTTTCCTGCTTGCTTGGCCTAGGTGCTCCAGTGTTGGGCAGAGCACTCATGTCTGAGATACAGTGACTGCTCAGACATGAGCACATTAAGGTCAGTGAATGACAAACCATGGTTTTGCTTGAGTTGTTAGGAGACAGAGATACTATACCTTCCACTGGCTTTGAACTTGGGAGTATATAGTCAATGCATTGCTAACAGTCATTTTGTTATTGGATATATTATAGGTTGAATTGTGTCATCCAAAACCAAATGCTGAAGTACTAATGCTCAGTATCTGTGAATATAACTTTATCTGGAAACAGGGGTTTGGGAGGAAAAGCCCTCAATAAAATCCAACATTCCTTCATGATAGAAACTCTGAACAAGGGCCAGCGTGGTGGCTCACGCCTGTAATCCCAGCACTTTGGGAGGCCGAGGCAGGTGGATCACGAGGTCATGAGATCGAGACCATACTGTTCAACATGGTGAAACCCCATCTCTACTAAAAATACAAAAAATTGAGGCAGGAGAATTGCCTGAACCCAGGCGGTGGAGGTTGCAGTGAGCCGAGATTGCACCATTGCATTCCAGCCTGGGTAACAAGAGTGAAACTCGGTCGCAAAAAAAAAAAAAAAAAAAAAAAAAAACTCTGAACAAACTAGGCATTGAAGGAAGATATATCAAAATAATAATTCAAAACCCACAGCCAACATCATACCAAACAGGCAAAAGCTGGAAGCATTCCCCTGAATGCTAGAACTAGAACTGGAACTAGAACAAAACAAAGACACCCACTCTCACCACTCCTATTCAACATAGTACTGGAAGTCCTTGCCAGAGCAATCAGGCAAGAGAAAGAAATAAAAGGCATCCAAATAGGAAAATAAGAAGCCAAATTATCTCTCTTCACTGGTGACATAATCTTATACCTAGAAAACTCTAAAGATTCCACCAAAAGGCTCCTAGTACTGTTAAATAACTTCAATAAAGTTTCAAGACACAAAATAAAGGTACAAAAATCAGTAGTATTTTTATGCAGCAATAAAATTCAAGCTAAGAGCCAAATCAGGAACACAATCCCATTTACAGCAGCCATACAAAAAATAAAATACCTAGGAATACATTTAAGCAAATAAAGGAAAGACCTCCACAAGGAGAGTTACAAAACACTGCAGAAAGAAATCAACAATGACACATACAAATGGAAAAACATTCCATGCTCATGAATTGGAAAAATAAATATCATTAAAATGGTCATACCACCCAAAGCAATGTATACCTTCAATACTATTCCTATAAAACTACCAATGTCATTTTTTACAGAATCAGAAAAAACTGTTCTAAAATTTATATGGAACCAAAATGGAGCCCGATAGTTAAAGCAATTAAAAAAAAAAAAAAAGAGCAAAGCAGGAGGCATCACATTACCTGACTTTAAACTATACAATAAGGCTACAGCAACCAAAACAGCATGGTACTGGAACAACAACAACAACAACAAAACCCAGATGCAACAATGGAACAGAATAGAGAATGCAGAAATTAAGCTGCACACCTACAGCCATCTGATCTTCAATGAAGTCAACAAAATTAATAATGGGTAAAGGATTCCCTATTCAATAAATGGTGCTGGAATAACTAGTAGGTCATATGCAGAAGAATGAAACTGGAGGACTATCTAATACTATCGACAAAAATTAACTCAAGATGGATTAAAACTTTAGATATAAGACTTCACACTACAAAAATCCTATAAGAAAACCTAGAAAATATTATTCTGGACATTGAGAAGTAATTGGCCTTGGGAAAAAATTTATGACTAAGTTCTCAAAAGCAATTGCAATAAAACCTAAAACTGACAAGTGGGAACTAATTAAACTAAAGGGCTAGGGCACAGAAAAAGAAACCATCAACAGAGTAAACAGAGAATCTATAGAATGGGAGAAAATATTCACCAACTATGCCTCCAACAAAGTAGTAATATAGAGAATCTGTAAGGAACTTATTTCAAAAAACAAAAACAACCCCATTAAGAAGTGGGCAAAAGATAGGAACAGACACTTCTCAAAAGGATACATACAAGTTGCCAAGAAACATATGAAAAAAATGCTCAACATCACTAATAATCAGATAATTGCAAATCAAAACCACAATATGCTACCATCTCACACCTGTCAGAATAGCTATTATCAAAAAGTTAAAAAACAAAAAAACACAACCAGATGCTGGAGCTGCTACAGAGAAAAGGGAATGCCCATACACAGTTGGTGGGGTTGTAAATTAGTCCATCCTGTGGAAAGCAGTTTGGAGATTTTTCAGAGAACTTTAAACAGAACTACCATTTGACTCTGCAATCCCATTATTGGCTATATATCAAAAAGAAAATAAATCATTCTACTAAAAAGACACATGGCATTCTTATGTTCATTGCAGCATTATTCACAATAGCAAATATGCTAAATGAACCTAAATGCCCATCAATGGTCAATTGGATAAAGAAAATACGGTACATATACATCATAGAATACTACACAGCCATAAGAAAGAACAAGATCATGTCCTTTGCAGTAACATGGATGCAACTGGAGGCCATTTTCCTGAGTGAATTAATGCAGAAGCAGAAAACCAAACACTGCATATTCTCACTTAGAAGTGGGAGCTAAACATTGGGTACACCTGAACATAAAGATGGCAGCAACACACACTAGGCGCTAATGGAGGGAAGAGGTTGAGGAAAAAGGTTGGAAAACTAACTGTTGGGTATTATGCTCACTATCTGGATGATGGAATCATTATTACCCCAAATCTCACCATCATGTGATATACCCATGTAAGAAATCTGTACATATGCCCCTTGAATCTAAAATAAAAATTTAAGTTATAAAAGAAAAAAATAGGATTTGCTTATATGATAATCACATTAACATAAAATATAACTGGATTGGGTGGTCCCTAAGTCCAATGATGGGGGACCTTATAAGGAGAGAAATTCAGAGATGCAGAAATAGATGGTAGAGACCATATGATCAAAGAGGCAGGTATTGGCATGGTGCAGCTGAAAGCCAAGGATGTCAAAGGACTGTCAGGGGCTATCAGAAGCAAGAGAAGAAGCGTGATACAGTTTTCCCTCTGGAGCCTTCCCAGGGAGCATCATCCTGTTAGCAGCTTGATTTTGCCCTTCTTGCCTCCAGAACCACAGAGAGTACATTCTATTGTGGTAGTTTGTTCCAGCAGCCCTAGGAAATTAGTACAATATATAACCTGGAAAGAACCAACACCCAAAAAAGCACTGTTCAGAGACTTCAAAAAGGTGGATCCAGATAGCACTCCCTGAGTCTCTGATTAAGTAATCTTGATGAGATGATCTCTGCATTTTCATTATAAGAGCCAATACATTATTTTCAAAAATAATCTTAAGACCGTTTGTATGATTTTTTTCTGCCATAAAGTTAACCCTTATAGGCATGCTAATAGAAAATGATCTGGATAACACACTACAGAGTTATGTTACATACAGTACCAAAGAGGATGTCCCACTAGTATATTGCAAAGACAAATTTTCATTACTTGGAAGGGGCCCTTGAGGATTTTTTTTCTTAAGTAACTTGTAGTTACAGTTAAATAACCAGAGCTATTTTTATATTTAGATTGTCACTTTTTGCTGGCCAGCTTGAAACATGAGCAATCGTTTTTATTCCCAAGTTGTCTGTTTTACTGCTTTCTACTACAAAAACATTATCTTCCTTTCATTCTGCCGACTTCACGGAAATGAGGTACAGATAAATCTAATCATTGCCACAGTGTGTTTTATTATAAGACACTAGTATTACCACTAAAGATCTCACTCATGAAACTTTTCCAGAAACAGGTAGGTATCACCTAGACTTGCATGGAGAACAAGATGATCCTTCTTTTTACTAAACTGATGTAATTACTGCCAGAGTACTGCTTT